CTGATACAACTTTGATTTCTGACTAAGTTTCCACAGTTTCTGCATTTATGGAAACACATCCTCCTTCTCTGAGTCCAAACTGGTCTGAAGTTCACTCTGAGTTGAATGAACCCCAGTGAAAATAACATTTCTTCTTTGGGTTTCCACAAAGAAGAAATGTTATCTCTCATCCAGCTGTTTGATTTGACTCTCAAAAGTGACTCAGTCAAAAAAAGTATTATTCTACTTTTTTTAGTTTGCTTTATTTACTTTCAAACCAGAACATTAAAGCATACATTAAACAGAGACACAAAATAAACAATAAGAAATACAAAAAATAAAGGAAATATACGATGCATCCAACACTGGCACATGAAACTGCCTGACAGGAAGTTCATCAAGCAAAACATGTGCTCAGTTGTTAACCTACTACGCCCCCTTCTGGACAAAAACGCTTTTTTACAGCACATACTTCTTCTGTGGTTGGTTCCCTGATGGTTGTGTAGAAGCTACTGGAATCAGTGAAGGCTTCAGCACAAGAAGAGGAAGCTTCCACAGAGTCTGACAGTGGATCAGTGGAGTCTGACAGAAACAGAAGGGTCTCCATGGTTTTCATACGTCACTGTACCATCATCTTCATCACTGTGCACCTGTGAACAACAACACAACACACCTGAGATTCTGAGTGCAAACAAATCAGTGCTGAAGCACAGAGCAGCTGCAGAGGAACAGCTGGAGTCCAGCGCCTTGCTCAAGGGAACTTCACTGATAGTCAGTGGAGCAGATGAGAGCATTACTCCTCCACTGTCCCAACACACACTGTCAGAGCCGATCCAGGGATTCACACTGACCACTTCCCAGTCACAGCCTCCTCTGACTGTCAGGCTTCCACTGAGCCACATTTAGCCTGAGGAAATCCAGAATCCTCTGATTTCTACAGCCCCCACAGTTAATAGGGAAGAACCCAGACCACAAACACTGCTCTGCTCTGTAAAGTAACACATGGGACTTCTCAGCTTTCTACTCACACTGGTGTTATCCATCTGTGGTTTGTTCCCTGAAAAGACAAACGAGTCGACTTTAGCTTTAACAGTGAAAATGCAAGATCACTGAAGCTTCTCATTCTGACGTGTTCACCGGCCGATGCTCTCACCTTTAGTTCTCGTCCATATGTTGACTGTAACAACGATAATGATGAGTGTTGTTAAACCCACAGAGACGATGATGAACCTCCACCAACCTGGAAAACATCAACACAGTTTGT